GCCCCCCCCCGTCTGAGCCCCAGCTCCCTGGTGCGGGGAGGAAGCAGCTGCCTTGCTCTGCTCAGCAGAAACCCAGGTGCAAGGGATCCTGAGGATCCCTCCAGCCCCAGCCCCACCCCCCAATAGCTGTAATGGGACCCGCCCCCCTGCCACTTTCTCAGTGGGGCCAGGAGAACTATTGGGCTGCTGAGGATCCCTCCAGCCCCAGCCCCACCCCCCAATAGCTGTAATGGGACCCGCCCCCCTGCCACTTTCTCAGTGGGGCCAGGAGAACTATTGGGCTGCAGAGACAGCGCTGGAAGCAGCATCTCTCCCCGTTGGGAGCAGACACAGGCCAGCCCCCATCTCTGATCATAATGGTCCCTTCTGACCTTAAAGTCTATGAGTCTATGAGTCTATGAGTCTGCCCTCGGGCCTAGGAGAGAGGTTTACAGGCTGGGGAGCTGCTTCCCACCCAGAGCAGGAGGCTAAAGGGTTATAGAGCTCCCCCTGCTAGAAACACCTCCCCCCAGGGGCAGAACTTGTGCCGTGGGGATGGGTGCAGGGCCTGGGGTTCCTCGGAGAGGGGCACTTGGTAGCTAAGTGAAATATAAAGGGTTCCAGCTCCCCCATGCTACTGCCTCCTCCCCTGAGCAATGCCAGGTGCTGTTGCTGCCAGCACCAGGCTTCTGGCTAACTCCACAAGCCGCCCTGGACCCTGCATCCCCCTGAAGATCATGGCCCCCAATGTGCAGGGCATGGGCGGTTGTCCCGGTCCTTCCTAGGAACAGAGCAGCTCTGTGTATCACCCTGGCTGGAGACATGCCCCCAAATAATTCCTAGAGCAGATTTTTTTAGAAAAACATCCAGTCGTGATTTAAAAATTGTCAGTGATGGAGAATCCCCCGTGACCCTTGGTAATTGTCCCAGTGGTTAATTACCCTCACTGTCAAAATTGTACACCTTATTTCCAATCAGAACTGTGTCTAGTTCCAATTTCCAGCCACACCCCAGCAGGGTTGAATGAGCTTGCCTTGCCTTTAAGGCTGAGGGGCTCAGTGTTGTTCTCATACGTTTTATGGATTTGTAGAGTCCTACAAATTCAGGGATATCCACTTGACGTCTGTGGGTATCCGCATCTGCAGATGTCAATGAGCATATCCTTGGCTCATTTTTGCAGATACAGATGTAGCTGTGGATACAAATTTTGTATCTGCACAGGGCTCTATGAATTTGGTCTCCCAGAAGGAAACAGCATTGTCCCCGTTTTACAACTGGGCAAACTGAGGTAGAGAGTCACAGCAAGGCCACACAGTCAGTCAGAAGCTAACCCCGAACAGACCCCAAGACTGCTAACTCCAGGGCTATGTCTACACTCGTGGCTTCTTGCACAAGTACGGCCTTTCTTGCGCAAGAACCTGCAGAGCGTCCACCCTGCCCACCAGCTCTTGCGCAAGTAAATGTACAGTCCGGCGTGGTAAGAGGGGGCTCCTTGCGCAGGAGGGCAGTGTAGACGCTCAAGGGATTTCTTGCGCAAGAGAGCATCCACACTGCCATGGGCGCTCTGGCACAAAAGCACAGCTCGCACACGGCAGTGTGGACGTTTTCTTGCACAAGAAGCCGCGAGTGCAGACACAGCCCCAGTGTCCTGCCCTAGCTATTGGATCATTCTGTGTTTCTAATGCTCTCTAAAGGAACTGGAAATCCTGTCTGGGATCCTCCCAAGCACACAGCGATGAGAGGTGCGTGACCTTGGCCCCAGATTAGACTGGATACCAGCGGAATGAACTGGGCAGCGTTAGCAAGGTGCTGCCCGGGTAGCTGAGAGCCAGGGGCACCCCTGGGATTGCCGCGTGCACCCTGCAGCTGGCACTACGCCTGGGGACAAGCTGCCACCTGTGTGCAGGGGGCTCGATCTGCACGTGCAGCATCCGGGACTCGCGAGAACTTGAGGTGCCCGGTGCGCGGCCTGGGCGCCCCAAAGCCATGGGGGGGGAGCACGGGGTGGCAGCACGCGCGTGCACGAGGCGCGTCCTGGGCGTGCAAGGTGGTGCGCGTGCCCGCGGGGCAAGCGGAACACGTGTCCGGGGGGGCAGGGCCCGCGCGCTCTTCCCGCGTCCCCTCCCCCTC